ACCCAATGGTCTAGTTAAAGAGTGCCACTGATGAAAATTTAACCAAAAAAATTCACACCGTTTTTTTAAATATGTTGCAAATATAACTATAGCTATCATCAAATTTCAATGCTTTTGATGGTTTGAACCACTTCGTCATAGCTGCCCAAATATATGTACTGTATATGATCAGAGCTGGCTCTGTCACTTTTTGCTTAGGCCAACACTATAAAAATAAACGAGGTTCGATGCCGGTTCTGGGCATAACTAGTGATCACCATAACTTTTACAAAATATATTACATATAAAAAATTTCACAGTTTCCACGATACACATCTGCATAAATTTATAGAGTTATTTTAATTTGGATTAATTATTTTTAGTTTGATTAATCAATTTACTATAGAGTTTATTAAAACATGATTAATCTGGGCTTTAAGTAATAAACTCCCGGGTTAATTTAGTTTCAAGATATAGATTACATTATTTCAAAATTGACCATTAAAACCCCCTCCCTCACTTCGAAACCTGTGTCGTTGGGGCTGCTTTAACTGGCTTTTTATTTATCCTACAGTAGACCATAAGCTATTTTGATTAAATAAAAATTTTTACAGAAGTGTTTTTGTATATCATATATAAAGTTAGAATATAGATTTATTAAAAAAAAATATGTAAAAGCAAAGCAGGGACTGGTGAAGAACGTAACCCACAACCAGATCAATCTGAGAAACAACTGATGATCATTTTAGACCATTTCCCACTTAGGAACAATTAAGTGATTAAATCTAGGGTGGTGGGTGGTGGGTGGTCTGCAGGGTGGTTCAGAGTAACAATAATATATGTAACAAAAATTATATAACAACATTTATATTATGTAACTGTTGAAATGTTTAAAAAATAAATATCAAGATTATATCACGCAACATTCAAAACCAAACAAAATTCCTATGAGAATGAGGTCAACAAGGGATCAAAAGAATTGGGCACGTTCATTTTGCTTATAAAACTACATAAATCATCAAAATTAATACAAATATTTGGCATTAAAAGGTATAAAGCCTCACTGAGAGGAAAAGCTTCATTAAGGGAAAAAGATTTTTTAAGATTAAAAACATGAACGGAATAAAGGTTGCACTGTTATTTTCAATGATAACTTTTGAATTTGTCAGCACTAAGGCGCAAGGTAATCTAAGTAACCAAGCTTATATTTTTCATTAATATTTTCCAAGTTATTAACATTTGTATAATGGTATGTTAATTTTGGTATGGTAATCTTTATTTTGTAGATAATTAAGTTGTTTTAGATAATAGTTTTATATAAGATAGTTTCAACAATTGATTAAATTGTTTTCCAATTTTTACTGTTTAACTATTAAATGGTTGATACTAGCTTTGATCTTTAATTAACTTGGTTCAAAATGATTGATAGGTCCTCGTCATGGAATACTAGAAACAATTTCAGTCAACAATGATATAAAACAAAAATGTGAAGAATGCAATGAGGCTAGGAAACATAATATTAAAAATGAAGAATGTGACCAATTTTTCATCCAACATGGTTGTCAAATAATCGGGTATGAAAATTTTAAATACGAGTTTTAACTTAAGTTCTTGTGCGTATTACAAATATAGCTCCCAGGCGCCTAAAGACAAATTTTTAAATTTTTTTGATGTTGATTTTAAACATTTATATATTTTTGAGCTAAAAAAATAATGCATACATTTCTTTTGTTAATTATTGTTCAAACTTTTATTTTAGTTCGAAAAAAGAAGTTGTGGAAAAAGATTCTAAACCTTTAAAAAAAAAGGTCAGAAAACTTTAAAAAACTCGAATTAAAGAAAAAATATGTTAGGAATGACGGCAAACAATTATTATTTCAGCGTTTTTTTGTATAAGTTTCACCTATATAATGACAGTGAATAAATATATTCATATTAAATAAACAATCGTAATTTTTTTTTATTAAAAAGAATTTGTATTTTTATTTTTAAAAAAAATCTTTTTAATTAACTTTAAAGGAATAACTTTTTGTTCATAAGGATTTTTTTGTTCATAAACATTTTTTTGTTCATAAACATTTTTTTTTTGTTCATAAACATTTTTTTTTGTTCATAAACATTTTTTTATTAAAAAGCTAATTTTGCATTTTACTGCAGTTGAAGCCAAAGTTTTTGTATTACTTGTAATAATAAATTGTAACTCAATTTTTAAAGTGATTTAAGGAACAAAAACATTTGTCTTTTTTTTTTATCTTATTTTAATTCATAGTAAAACTTATTTGAAACGTTTCTTAGGCTAAACTGACAAAGTTATATTTGAAGTTGAAACATAACTTGCAAATAATATAAGTGAAAATATTTTATTTAAGGCTCCAATGGATAAATTTTATAAGTTTATTGAATAAACATAAAACAATAAACAAAGTTTTTAAGCTCTGCTATCAATATAAATATATATATTTATATAGCCGCTGTGGCTAAGGCTACACCTTAAATTAATCTACGAAATAAAAAATAATATAATACTCCAACATATTTTTAAAGTAATAAATAATATAAATTGATGTGATTAAATGGCCTAGCCTTAATGTCAATTTATGTTGAAATAGTTACAGATAAAGACAGGGTTAACAACAATTTTTCAGCTTCTCTAGAGAGATGTTTAAAGTTTATACTTAAGCCTTAAATAATTGGCTATGATTAAATAATAATTATCTATTATATTTACAATCATTTTTTTATTAAAACGTTTTTATAATTTTCTCTTAGAGCAATTTATTTTTTATTTGTTTTAAATGTTTAATAAATAAATCTATTTTCTATTTTGTGTACATTTTATATTTTTTGACATCTAAAATGTTAAATGTTTTAAAAACTAAATAATGTAAACCATTAAATAAAAAATTTAATGTGTGTAAATTGTTAGTTTATGCTACAAAAAAAGTGCTCGATAATCATAAAAAACAAAGATGTAATAAATTAGCTTCCTAAGGATAGCTGGTACACTTCGTTAAGTAAGTTAGACATTGTATGTGTAACTTACGAACAGAATAGCCAAGGCAAATTTTATGTTTTACCATTAATTATTTTACTAGAATCCATTAAAAATAAATGAAAAATATATGTACAAAAAGTGAAAACTAAACTAGGTAAACGACGCAGAAGCTGTTCAACCCTTCAATTAAAGACGCTCAGATAAAAAAACTGTCTGGCAGCATCTACATGACAATTACTACATAGTAATTACCGGACGTCTTTTTGACGCAGACAAACCGACTAATTAAATAGTTGCAATTATGACGTAATTTTTACAAGTTTTAGCTACACCTATATAAAATCTTAGATCTACCACTGTATATATATATATATATATATATATATATATATATATATATATATATATATATATATATATATATATATATATATATATATATATATATATATATATATATATATATATATATACATATATATATATATACATATATATATATATATATATATATATATATATATATATATATATATATATATATATATATATATATATATATATATGTATATATATATATATATATATATATATATATATATATATACATATATGTATATATATATATATATTTATATATATATATATAAATATAAATATATATATATATATATATATATATATATATATATATATATATATATATATATATATATATATATATATATATATATATATATACATATACATACATATATCTTGAATGAGAGTATATTATATATTATTTTAAAACGTAAGTACAGTTTCTTTCAATACTAATAATTTTATTATTTAAGAAACTTTTGCTGGGTTATGGATACCAGTATAAAACTATTAGTATTGAGAGAAATTGTATTTGTTGATGTTTTAATATATATATATATATATATATATATATATATATATATATATATATATATATATATATATATATATATATATATATATATATATATATATATATATACACACATGTATATATATATATACATATATATATATATATATATATATATATATATATATATATTATATATATATATATATATATATATATATATATATATATATATATATATATATACACAGTGAATCCAAAAATTATTGGCCCACCCTTGCATAACCACTTTATTTTTGCTGGCATATAAGAACTATAGGAGAGAATTACTAAGTGTTAATATCATTGTGTCGTCTGTTATCACTAGTATATATACAACAAGTTTCAGCTTTTCAATTACTTTCGTTCTTGTTTTATTGAGAAAACAGTATAAGTTTGTTCAAATACTATGTACAAAAATTATTGGCCCAGAGAAAAGAAAAAAATTTTTGTCCATCGCGAAACAGGTATTTCATCGAATCTAGTATCGTGTTGGGTAACCTTCCATCTCGATGCATTCTCGCAATCTACTTGGTACTGAACCAACAAGTTTCTGGAAAACAGACAACTCGACGTTATTCCATTTGTTCTTCAGGAGGTCTCCAAGTTCGTAGATATTTTTCGGCTTGTGTTAAACCTCTGGTCGATCTCATCCCATAGATGTTCTATGGGATTGAGATCAGGCAAGGATGAAGGCCAAGCTAATGTTTGAATAATGTTTTGTTTGAGCCAATCCTTGACTAGACCTGATGTATGCTTGGGATCATTATCGTGAACGAAAAAAAATTCTTGTCCAAAATTAAATTTTTGGATTGATGGTAACAAATACTGCTCTAAGATGTCACGATAATAAAATGGTCCATTGTATGGTCCAAAATACATAATTCACCAATTCCATTTCGCGTGAAACAACCCCAAACGGTAACAGTACTACCACCATGCTTGAACGTAGTCACAGTACAACGTGGATCGAATTCTTCCTTGGGTGTTCTCCATACCATTACTTTTCCATCAGACCCGAACAAATTAAATTTCGATTCATCGGACCAAATGACATTTTTCCAAAACCTTATCGGCTTGTTCAACATTGTTTTTGCGTATTTCAGTCGTTTAATTCGATTGATTTTGTTGACAAATGGTTTCTTTCGTGCTACACGACCATAAAGTCCCAGCTTCGTGAAGTCTATTTCGAATGGTATTGGCGTGTAATGATATTCCTAGTTCGGTCTCGACCTCGATCTTCACAGCATTGGCAGATTTACGTCGATCGGACTTAACTTTGCGTACTATCAATCGATCCAATGTTTCGGTTGTCTTCCTTTTTCGACCACGTCCGAATAAATTACCGATACATTTCGTCTGTTTGTATTTCTTAATTATGTATCGTACTGTCTCTCGAGGAAGTAATGTCTTAGCAGCAATTTCTCGTTGAGAATCACCGTTTTGATAGTGCTGAATTACTAAAGCTCGAAGGTCATTACAATGTTCTTTCTTTTTAGGTGCCATTTTAGTAAATTATCATTTAGTGAAGAAATCCGCAAGTTTTTATACTATGATTAGTGGTTCTAGATATAGCATCGACACAATTCTATAACATTCTGAAAAAAATACGAAAGTTCTAGAACTTTTTGGAAGTATTATTTTCTTTTCTTTTCTCTGGGCCAATAATTTTTGTACATAATATTTGAACAAACTTATACTGTTTTCTCAATAAAACAAGAACGAAAGTAATTGAAAAGCTGAAACTTGTTGTATATATACTAGTAATAACAGACGACACGATGATACTAACACTTAGTAATTCTCTCCTATAGTTCTTATATGCCAGCAAAAATAAAGTAGTTATGCAAAGGTGGGCCAATAATTTTTGGACTCACTGTATATATATATATATATATATATATATATATATATATATATATATATATATATATATATATATATATATATATATATATATATATATATATATATATATAATTATCAGATGAAATCGTTATAACTACATTTATTGATCTCTGTTCTGTTGACACGTCAATATCTTTACACTTCCTGTTTACCTTAGCAACAAGCACATGTTTTTTTGATAAATTAATATAACACATTGGAAAGTTGTTTATCATCTTTTAAGCATAGGAAACAAGACAGTAGAGGTAAGTGATGTGCCTTTGTTGTGATATTAATGTCATCATTACTTATTGGTAAAAAATATATGTTTATAATATTACCAATCACATATTGAGTCAGTATACACCATTTAAGGTCATCTAAAGCCCAATATGGTTAATGAGAACCACCAGTCAAGGGTAACTATTGAACTTTAAGGTATTCTCAATCAAGTTTTTTTACTTTTGCCAATTTTTTTGTGTTTTATTAGCATCTGCTTCCTTCTTTAGTTTAATAATGATATTAGATCATTAAATTAAACTAAAACAGACATTTTGTCTGTTTTAGTTTAATTTCATGATCTAATATCAGTATTTTTTATTGTAGAAAAAATGGTAAAAAATCGTCGCTTGTCTCAGGAAGAGCGCCTCCGTGCTGTTTTCATGGCAAAAAATAGTGAAAATTGTAGTAAAATTGCAACAATTTTGGGTTCTATTGCAAGCGGCATTAGAAAAATTGTTAAGAAGTATCAGAATTCAGGTTCTACAGCAGACAAGGCACGTTCCGAAAGGCCAAAGAAGACGACGGGTGCTGGTCCGCATGTCACTTCAGGATCGTCGCCTGACTGCACCACAACTAAGCCGGAGACTGTCAGAGGAACATGGAGTTAATTTGGCGTCCAGAACTGTGCGGAAGAGACTACAAAAAGCCGGATTGAGATGGTGTGTGGCAGCAAAGAAACCTTTGCTCTCTGCCGCCAATGTCCGGCGACGGTTAATCTTTGCCAGGGAGCACAAAGACTGGACTGTCGAGGACTGGAAAAACGTTATTTTTTTTGATGAAAGTATTTTTCAACTATTCTGTGGGGCAAAGAGACTGATTGTTAGAAGAAGAGTTGGTGAAAAGTTTAAAAAAGACTGTGTTGCACCAACTGTGAAGCATGGCGGTGGTAGTGTTATGATTTGGGGGTGCATGTCTGGACACGGGGTAGGGCAGTTGTATTGGTGCATTGGGTCCATGAACTATAACCAATACATTGGGGTGCTTCAGGACTCAATGCTACTATCTGCTGATACTCTGTTTGGACAAAGAAATCGGTTTATCTTCCAGCATGACAATGCGCCATGTCATAAAGCAAAGAAGGTAACCAATTTTCTTCGTCAAAATGGAGTGGACGTGCTTGACTGGCCTGCTCAGAGTCCAGACATGAACCCCATCAAGAATTCATGGAGTGTCATGTCTAGGAGCATTGAGGGAAAGAAACCATCCAATTTGGATGACCTGTGGGTATTGTTAAAAAGTGCGTGGAACAATATCCCACAGACAACAATCGATGGTCTTTTTGCCTCAATGCCTAGCCGTATGAGGTGTGTGATTAAAGCTCAAGGATACCATACCAAATATTAATAAAACAATGTTTATTTTACATATGTGTACACTCTGTATGTTTTGTTAAACAATTTGGATAAGAAAACATACATCTCTTGAAATCTCTTTCGTTAGAACCTCTTAAATGTAAAAAATGCTAGATTCTGTCGGATTTGTCCTTACTTTGTGCCGCCACTGTATATATATATATATATATATATATATATATATATATATATATATATATATATATATATATATATATATATATATATATATATATATATATATATATATATATACAGTGCTCGAAGTGATGCGAGATGCCATCCCGTCACCTATTTATAAGGTATAAACCTTTTTCTAAAACTTTTTTTATGTTTCACGGCGTGAAGATACTAAGTACTAAGTATGGTGACAGTTTTGTTATCCGTCCACTTAACAGCCTTTTGACAGTATCACATCCAGTCTATACGACAACTGAGCCTCTCCTTGTTTTTTGACGGTATATTATCTGGAGGAAATCAGCAGTTTTTCATTCAATTTTGGCAGGTAATCTTTTTTTTCCCAAAGAACTTGCAATAGGATAGAACTAAATTTGTTATCAAAAACTATTTGATACTACCAGCCTTATCAAATTTTCCTGGGCATAAGCATTTTTAAACAGTATAATATTCGTAATTAGGAATTATATCAGTGTTACCGGAGCAAAAAAACACTTGCAACCCTGCTTTTTTTCGCTTCTTTGGATTATATTGTTTTAAAAATGGTCTTTCTTTAACAGCAGTTAAGTAGGAAAATAACCTAATATTTGCTGATCAATGTTAAGCATAAATTAAGATTTAAGATTTTTATTCTAGCTTAGAAAGAATATTCACACCTCCTTCCTTACAAGTGCCGTGAAATATGATAGGAGCTTGTTTCGAACCCTACATCTCTTGCTTCTGAGGTAACCCACTAAACACTGGACATACAAAAAACGTACAATGTACGTTCAGTTTACGTTTTGAACGTACTAAACCTTTTTGGAACCAAAATATTTTGTTTTGGTCAGCTTGAAACGTTCAAAAGACGTCTGTATTACATTTGGAAGCGTGCCTTTTTTCTAATGAAACACAGGTCAAAAAACATGTAAACTAAAATTAAAAATTTTAGTTGTATCAGTCGTTTTATTAGTATCGGTCAAAAATACTTAATTTTATGGTTAACTTTTTTTGCAGATATTTTGTTTGGTAGTTGTTAATGGCGTGCGCCATTTTTTATTTTATCTCGAAATAACATTGAAATATAAATAATAACAACAAATGGTTTCATAAAGGGTTGTTTGAAATAGATAACGGCTTCATAAAGGGTTGTTTAAAACAGATGTAGAAAGGGTTGTTTGAAACAGATATAGAAAGGGTTGTTTGAAACAGATATAGAAAGGGTTGTTTGAAATAGATTAGATTGTAAACTATTAATTATTTCTTAGATTATTTCTTAGATTTTTTTTAACAATTCGTTTTATGTTTAGTTATATGAAATGATGATGAATATGATTAACAATTTTTTTATGTTTAGTATATATGAAATAATGACTTTAACCATAAAATTTCATATAACTAAACATAAAACGAATTGTTAAGAAAAATCTTCAACCATATTTATTTTTTTCTAAAGATAATTATTTCAAAAACTGTATTTATAGTTTTTGATAAAACTATAAATACTCTAAATGAACTAAAAATAAAAATATTTTGTCCAAAATTTGTAAAGAGCATAAATAAACAATTATTGCAAATAAACATTAAAGTTGAAAAAATATTTTTCTGCTTAAATGTCTATTGTCGAAAAATAATCAAAATATGCAATGTTTTGACCATAAAGTATAAATTATTCGATAGATCGATGTCAGTATTTTTTAAAATAACAATTTAAGTTACTACTTTTTTTTCTTTTGGAATCGTCACATAATGATTGTTAGCACATGCTTAAATGAGGGGCAGTTTCGTCGTTAAAGAAAAGATAATATTTAAGATAAATTTGATCACGCAAATTTTTAAACTACGGAGCACAGTTTAAAAGAAAATAAAGTTGTACTCAAAATGCACTTCAAAGCTTTAGATTTTATCTATAAGAGGTTTACTTTTCAGAATATATTAGTTGACAGTTAGCTTTAAAGGTTTTTGAAGTTTTAATTATAAATGCGACTCTTAAGTGAAACATATGAACAAGCTTATTATAAATGTATAGTCTAAAATGTCTATATGAGATGTATATAAATGTATACATAGAAATCATCCTACTATTACCTCAAAAATAATGCTTTAAATAAAAGTTTTTTTTTCTACTAGGTAAGCTGGCCTTACCACTAGGAAGGAATTTTGTCTATTGCCCAAGTGACGTGTTTTTCAATTAGTTTAGTTGTACTGACGAATTCGCCCCGTATTTGACGAATTCACCCCTCGTGACTTGATGATGAATAAATCAAGTTCTACACAAAACTAATTTTAAAATTTATTCTGATTCAATACATTAACAAAGTAGAGACTTAATAAAAGAGAATTAATTAAAAAAAAACGATTTTAAACTAGAAAAGTTTACTTATTTATATGCAAATTTATTTTGTTAAAGTAAAACATGACGAGCTACTGCCCATAACTTACCCAATTAATCAATATTTTTTACAAGTTTTGTTGTTATTGCCACACTTATTACCAAAATTAAATTTTTTCACATTACATTTCTTTCATAAGGATTTTTCATAGTAGGATACAGGGGCACCCGCCAAGGAAAGAGGGGGCAAAAAGGGGACTTGCACCCCCCCCGCCTTACCAAGCATTTTCTAAATTCAGAAAAAAAACGTGTTTCTTACCAACCTGAGTGCCGTAAAAGTTGTTACTTATTGTTGTTATTGTATGGTTTTGGTAAGAATAAATTTTTTGAATCTTAAGCGATACGATTTCATTACAAACTCAACGTTTCATTACGGTTTCAGAAAAAAATTAACTACTTGTTTGTACGGTTTCGAAAAAAAATTGTAATATTTCAGT